TGGTGTTGAAAGCCACCAAATATTAGTGGGTTTTTAAACGGGACTTGAAAACCGAGAGGGAGGGGGCCAGTCTGACAAGCAGAGGTAACTCGTTCCAAAATCTATGTCCTTCTACAGAGAAGGCCCTGTCACCTCTGCGCTTAAGACGAGTTCCTGGAACTGTGAGGAGCAACTGGTCCGCTGACCTCAGGGAGCGTGGAGGGACATACGGTTGTAGCAGATCAGAGAGATGGGGGGGGAGAGACACTGTTCAGTGATTTGTAGACATACATGAGTATTTTGAACTGGATTCGAAAGTGAACCGGTAACCAGTGCAGTGAGGCCAAAACTGGTGTAATGTGCTCTCTTTTGCCTGTACTGGTTAAAAATCAGGCTGCTGCATTCTGGACCAGTTGTAGTTGTGCAATGGAGGTCTGACTGATACCAAACAGGAGTGAATTGCAGCAATCAAGCCTAGATGTAATGAATGCATGTATTACTGTCTCCAGGTTATTTTTGGATAATATGGGCTTCAGTTTAGACAGCTGCCTCAGTTGGAAGAAACATGATTTAACAATCATGTTTACGTGATTGTTAAGTTTCAGGGAAGGGTCCATTATCACTCCCAGATTAGTGACTCTTTGTTTTTCTGACAGGGTAAGAGCAGAAAGGTCGATGCAGTGGTTTGTGATCGTGTCGTTGGGAGGGAACAACATGACTTCAGACTTCTTTTCATTGAAACTTAAGAAGTTTAAAGCCATCCAGTCCCTGATGTCAGCCAGGCAGTCGAGCAGTGGTTGAATAGAGCATGTACCATTGTGTCTTAAGGGGAAGTAAATTTGACAGTCATCGGCATCGAAGTGGAAGGGCATGTTGTGTTTCCGGAAAATAGCACCAAGCGGCAGCAGGTATAAAGAGAATAGGAGGGGACCCAGGATGGACCCCTGCGGAACCCCCCATTTAAGCTCTGCCTCTGCGGAACTAAAATCCTTGATGGAGACACAAAAGGATCTGTCAGCGAGGTAAGATCTGAACCAATTGAGGGCTGATCCTGTGATGCCCACCCAATGCTCCAACCTAGCAATGAGGATCTCGTGGTCGATGGTGTTGAAGGCGGCTGTGAGGTCCAACAGGACAAGCAGCACAGAATCACCAGTATCTGTGGATCTGAAGATGTTGTTAAAGACCTTTAGCAGGGCAGTTTCAGTGCTGTGGAGAGGTTTAAAGCCAGATTGGAATAGCTCTAAGATGGCGTGATCCTCCAGGAAGCACTTCAATTGGGACTCGACTATTTTCTCCAGTACTTTAGAAACAAATGGGAGTTTGGAGACAGGCTGGTAGTTGGATACGACTGAGGGGTCAAGGTTTTTTTTTTTTTCAGGAGAGGCTGGACAGCAGCATGTTTAAAGGATTTTGGCACCATGCCAGTGGATAAACTACTGTTTACTATATCAAGAATGGACGGACCTAGAGTTGGAAAAACCTCCTTTAGTAGTCAAGGGGGGACCACATCAAAGGGGGAGCCAGAAGGTTTCAAGCTGCACATGATCTGCTCTAGAGAAGATGGAGTGATGGGTTCAAAATGGTAAAATAGAGCTACAGCTTGAGGTGGGTGGGTCATGAGTTGGAGGGGAAATGAGAGCCCAGGTGGTCGCAATTTTTTCCAAAAAGAAATGTAAGAAGTTGTCGCACAGCTCAGTCGAGGCTTCCAGAGGTGATGGTTCAGTGAGGTGGAGAACAGAGTTTAGGGTGGAGAAGAGGACACGTGGGTTGCAAGAGTTTGAGGTAATTATATCAGAAAAATATTTGGATTTAGCAGCTTTCACTGCTTTTTGATAACGGCGCCAACTCTCTTTAAGTATTTGGAAAGAGACCTGCAGCCTGTCTTTCCTCCACTTTCGCTCCGCCCTCCTACATTGCTGCCTAACAGCCTTGGTGACGTCACTCAGCCAAGGTTCTGCTCTGAGTTTCGATTTTTTTTGGTTTTAACAGGCGCAACATGATCCAGAGTCTTTAAGCAGACAGAGTTGAACTGGGATGTCAGCTCCTCAGTGGTAGTGAGAAACACCGGGGGCTTAATTATCATTTCAGAGTTATAAACATCTGTGAAACACACGGCAGTGAAATGGTTAATGGTCCGGGTGCTACGTGCAGGAATGCACGACTTAGGAGTTAAATGGGGGAGGGTGAACTCAAACTGGACTGGCATGTGGTCTAAAAAAACATTATCACCAATAACAAGATTATTAACAGTCACATCATGAGTTAAAACAAGGTCCAGTTTATGTCCACGCTCTTGGGTGGGACCGTTTACATGCTGAGTTAGATTAAATGAGTCCAATAAATCTACAAAGTCCTTAACCAAGGGCTTCTCAGGACAGCACACATGCAAATTAAAGCCCCCAATAATGAAAACATGCTCATATTTTGGTGTGATTTCATCCAAGATGTCAGAAAACTAATTTATGAAATCCTTAGATCGAGGTGGGCGATAGACGAGTGTAAATAAAGTCTGAGGCGAATGTCCGAGTTCAAAGACGCTCAGCTCAAAGCTGGAGCGGGAAACTGGGATGGGCAGTTGTTTACAGTCAAAAGTTGATTTGAATATTGTTAATAATCCACCACCGCGTCGGCCTAATGGCCGCGATGTGTTAAAATACAGACAGTTTGGTGGCAATAATTCCGATATGTCAAAATAATCACAAATTTAGTTGATTTTTATGTATTTTTATTACAAAAATATTACTCTGATGTATATATCTGATGAAGGTTATTCATAAAAATTTATACACAAATTAATAACAAAATTTCCTTGTGTCAAAGGTTATTTGATTATTAAATTTAGTGTAACGTTTTATAAAAGGCAGAATCTTGGACTGGTTTGTTGGGGTGTAGTTAAAATTGTGTCTAAATTAACTTTGATGTATCTAAATTAATGTTATTGTGAATGTATGATCACCAGAAAGGCATTAAGTTCTCTTGTCCTACCAGAATGAGATGGTCAGAGTGGTCCCACAACTGCTTATGAGGGGTGCCAGCTGTACCTGAGATGCTATGGGTGACTTAAAAGGAGGATTTATCCTCAAAGGTCACCGGTCATCCGTTGGAGGGATCAAGGTCCGATCACTGGCCCTTTGAAGTCAGCTTGGATTGACCACTCTGCGGCATGATGTTCTGGTTCAGATCTCACTCTAATGCCAGGTTCTGCTTCTCTCTCGTTCCCTTCCTTCCTAGGATATCTCACTAGGAGGATGCGTCTTTCTCTGGAGTTTGCTCGAAGATTTTTGATGTAGAAAGAGCGGTGAAGTGTAATGTAGAAGTGGTGTAGAAGATGAAGAAGTGAAGTGTCTGCCTGTGTGTTACAGATTGACTTAGGGACACCCCCCCCCCACCCAGAAGTGGGATGGTTCTAACTCTGTCATGTTATTTTATATAAAATAACAGTCCATTTTCTCGCTCTGCCTTTAAAAGTCACACTTCTTTTTAAAAGGAGAAAAATAAACATGATTATCTTTAAAGAGAGGTTACTTTAAACAGACATTTTCAATAACAAGCATTCAGTTCTGAAGCTGTGGAAATAACATGCAATGTTCGTCAAAAGGTGTCGCTGTTCATCTCCTGAAAAGAGAATGTCCTGAAAACAAAGGATTCTTTTAAAACTGTTATCTCCATGGGAAAATCCTGGGAGTAAACTCCTCGGCAGGTGTCCCACCTCGAGGTCAAAAATGAACCACAGCTCTCATTAAGACGATCTGTCTGTTTCGTGGGAAATGAGGTCATATTGGCAATGAAGTTAACACAATGACAGTTTTCATTACATTAGTTTAGTGGCAACTAAGGAGTTTGTAAGCTAAGCTGAGTTTAACACCTGCAAAATAAAGTTTGTTCATTCCCAAGGGAATAAATGCATCTTATTTTGACAGTTTAAAACACACAAAAAAACATGAATGATATTTGTTTTGAGATTAGGTGAACTCTGTTCAAAGGTGGTGTTCCCCTACAGGAGTTACACATTCAATAGTGGAGCCTGAGGGTGGCCAATAGTGGCCTTGGCCACCATTGATTCATCTATGGCCACCCCAAGGGCCACCCCAATCATTTAAAGAAACTTTACTTCTAAGCAATATAAAAACTATACAGCATAATTTTGTCAAATGATTGGGATGACCAGTTTACATACATATTCTTATTTTATATATGGCAACAGTCAGTTTGGATTTTGGTGTGACGTTATAATTTTTAACAGGGATCTTGATGCATCTACACACCAAAATGAAAGTCGGTACCTCGATTATTTTTCAGGTTATCATGAAAAACATTGCCAAACAGAAGTCACATAAGGCCTGGTTATACTTCCAACATGGACGTACAGATCCATCCATCCATCCATCCATTTTCTTTACCCGCTTATTCCATTTTGGGTCACGGGGGTCGCTGGTGCCCATGTCCAGCAATCACTGTGCGAGGGGCGGGGTACACCCTGGACGGGTCGCAAGTCCATCACAGGGCCACACAGAGACAAACGAGACAAACAACCATTCACTCTCTCACTCACACCTAGGGACAATTTAGAGTTACCAATCAGCCTAACATGCATGTTTTTGGACTGTGGGAGGAAACCGGAGTACCCGGAGAAAACCCACGCATGCACGGAGAGAACATGCAAACTCCACCCAGAAAGGCCCCTGGACCGGGGTTTGAACCAGGGACCTGCTCGCTGAGAGGCAGCAGCTCTACCAGTTGCGCCACCGTGCTGCCCTGGACGTACAGATGGTCTTTCCAATTCCCCCTCTTTGCCCTGCAAGTGCTGTTATCTTGTACATGAAAGAGCTGAACCGCAGCAGAAAAGCCTTGTGTAAACAGGACCTGAATGATGTCCTAACTTGTTACTCTGAACTGATAACTGCGGTTTGATTTCTCAGCTGATGTGAAATGGATGTTTGTGGATATTTAAGGTCAATAAGGGAAGAAATCAGCGTCTTTCAGACCAGCTATAAGAATGTGTTCTTTTTACCAACCAGAAAGCAACGGCCTGGTGCTGCTGTGTAAGGTCTGTGGGGATGTGGCCTCCGGTTTCCACTACGGAGTCCATGCCTGCGAGGGCTGCAAGGTGAGGGTAGCTATCTGAAACCACACATGCACGCACTCATGCATGCACACGTAAACTTCCTTTACAGAAATGTAGGCATGGGGTTCCGTCTCAAGGGGGCAGTGATGCAGCAGAGTGGATGCAAACCACCGTAAAACACCAAAGAATAAGAACTTCCTCTATGGCTTATTTAAGCTGGAGCAGTGGGAGCAGTGGTGCGCAAATAGACTGAACCCCACACCTACATTTCTGTAAAGGAAGTTTCACTGATATGAAATGTAAATCTGTCATTCTGCGTTCGATTACTCTGTGACTTTCTCCGTGACAAAAAAACTGCATTTTGGAATTGAAATAGAATTTTAGAGATGAAAATGAAAGTAGTCAAACTGAGTTTCCAATACAACAAAATACAGTTTCAAAGCATTAAATTTACTTTCAATTTAGTGAAATTCATTTTCAGACTAATGGATTTAATTTCAAATTACACAAATACAGATTGAGTCTGAGCAGTTCAAATTCAGTTTCTGATGGCACAAGTTTCTGCTCACACCAAACAGTCCTGTCTCTACTTTTCACCTTTTAAATAGGCAGACTGACTGACAACAAGAATGAAAACACTGCTGATGCTTATTACCGTATTTTCCTCTGTACACATCGCACCGCCCTATAACTCGCATCAGTCCAAAAATACGTTGCTTTCCCATATACATCGCATCTATTATGCATCACCGCTGACACGTCGTGTTTGTTACGCGTCACTGCTGACAACCTGGAAACGTGGGCCGGTGTTGTGCCAAAAATTGATTGGCTGGTAAATGGCTGCCGCGGGAGCATGCACAGGAGGACTTTAACAAGAATTTAACAAGATTAATGCTTAAAAACAATTATTTGTTTGCTCCACATTATAGTAAAGGTGTGTCTCAGTCTTAACTTTTCATTAATAAATGCACTTTGACGGTCAATTAAAAATAATAAAAATAAAATTTGTATGACTTGATATAACTGTTTATTGTTGTCGCTATTGTCCATTGTTGTCATCATTCTTTGTTGAAATCAGGTCTCTCTTGTAAATGAGTCCTCGAGGCTCAATGGGATGTACCTGTCTAAATAAAGGTTGAATAACAATTCAGCTGCATTTCAAAAGACGATACGCAAAGTAGGAGCGTGCATGGAAGGACTCACTGTGCATTTCTTTGAAATTTAACATGAAAAGCACCTAAAACAATTATTTGTTTGCTCGACATTATAGTAAAGATGTGTCTCAGTTGAACTTTTACTTAATAAATGCACTTCAATGGACAAATCAGCTGCATTTCACCAGGGCGGTGCAGAGAAATGAAGCTGATGTGATGGTTGCTCCAGGTGAGCTGGATGAAGGTGGCAGCTTATGGCAAGCTGATTGTGTCATTAATAGCCATGTTTACCTATTACATGATACAATGGCATGCCATACCGCTCGAGTGCCATCTAGCAGCTGAAAATGGTAGTGTTCAATATTTTCAGTCAGAATGAATGAAAACGGTCATATCTCAGCCAGAAATTGGTTCATAAATATGGAAAAATCCATAAATATGTCGCTTCAGCATATACAAACCGGATTCCAAAAAAGTTTGGATACTAAACAAATTGTGAATAAAAACTGAATGCAATGATGTGGAGATGGCAAATGTCAATATTTTATTCGCAATATAACATAGATGACAGATCAAAAGATTAATCTGAGTAAATGTAACATTTTAAAGGAAAAATATGTTGATTCAAAATTTCACAGTGTCAACAAATCCCAAAAAAAGTTGTGACAAGTAGCAATAAGTGGCTGGCAAAAGGAAATTGAGCATATAATGAAGCCATCTTGGCTTCTGAGAGAAGCCAAGATGGTAAGAGGATCACCAATTCCACCATTGTTGCACAGAAAGATAATGCAGCAATACCAGAATGGTGTTACCCAGCATAAAATAGCAAAGACTTTTAAGTTATCATCATCAACTGTGCATAACATCATCAAAAGATTCAGAGAATCTGGAACAATTGCTGTGCGTAAGGGTAAAGGCCGTAAAACTCTACTGGATGCTCGTGATCTCTGGGCCCTTAAACGTCACTGCACCTCAAACAGGAATGTCACTGTCAAGGAAATAACAGAATGGGCTCAGGAATACTTCCAGAAAGCATTGTCAGTGAACACCATCCACCGTGGCATCCGCCATTGCCAGCTGAAACTCTAGAGTGCAAAGAGGAAGCCATTTCTAAGCAAGCTCCACAAGCTCAGACATTTGCACTGGGCCAGGGGTCATTTAAAATGGAGTGTGGCAAAATGGAAGACTGTTCTGTGGTCAGATGAGTCACGATTTGAAGTTCTTTATGGAACACTGGGATGCCATGTCATCCGGACCAGAGAGGACAAGGTAACCCAAGTTATTATCAACGCTCTGGTCAGAAGCCTGCATCACTGATGGTATGGGGTTGCATGAGCGCTTGTGGCATGGGCAGCTTGCATGTCTGGAAAGGCACCATTAATGCAGAGAACTATGTTCAGGTTCTAGAACAACATAAGCTCCCATCTAGACGTCATCTCTTTCAGGGAAGACCCTGCATTTTTCAACACGATAATGCCAGACCACATTCTGCAGCAATCACAAATCATGGCTACGTAGGAGAAGGATCCGGTTACTGAAATGGCCAGCCTGCAGTCCAGATCTTTCACCTATAGAGAACATTTGGCGCATCATAAAGAGGAAGGTGTGACAAAGAAGGCCCAAGATGATTGAACAATTAGAGGCCTGTATTAGACATGAATGGGAGAGCATTCCTATTTCTAAACTTGAGAAACTGGTCTCCTCTGTCCCCAGACGTCTGTTGAGTGTTGTAAGAAGAAGGGGGGGATGCCATACAGTGGTAAAAATGGACTTGTCCCAACTTTTTTGGGATTTGTTGATGCCATGAAATTTGGAAACAACAGATTTTTCCCTTAAAATTATACATTCTCTCAGTTTAAACTTTTGATCTGTGATTTGTGTTCTATTCTGAATAAAATATTAGATGTTGGCACCTCCACATCATTGCATTCAGTTTTTATTCACAATTTGTTTAGTGTCCCAACTTTTTTGGAATCCGGTTTGTACGTTGCAGGGCATGTAAATTATGCAAAAAAAACTAATGAATAAAACACGACTTATAGGCCTAAAAATACGGTACATCTTAGTTTAATGTCCCTGTGGATAAATTAGTTTCAGTCTTTTCTAGGAGTGCCATCCTTTTTATCAAAGCCAGTTTCATTAATTAATTAATTAATTCATGTTTGTCAAAGTTATTTTGTTTGACCTTTGTGTGTTTTTCTTTCAAAACATTACAAACCTGTTAGTGTCTGTATTTTTTTTTTTTAAAACAGGCTCAGGGCAGTGTTTTGTTAATTTTGAAAACAGAAAAAAAAAAAATTGAACTTTGTTAATTAGTTTGGCTTGAAAGGAAAAAGAGTTATTCAAAATTTGCAGAGAGGTGGAGGTGAATTAATCTGACTGTCCCATCCAACATGCTCACTACTCCAGCTGTTTGTCTCTGCTCATCTGTGTTAAAAACTTTTTTTTGTGATGAAAATAATAATAAGACATGCAAAAGAGTTGCACTCTAATGTCCTCCAGTTCTGAGAGTAGTTCTGTCAGAGCTCAGAGTGAAAACGCATCATGATTACAGTGTCTGAATTATCTACATGATCTTTTTGTGTTTTCTCCTGTAATTCTAGGGGTAAAAATGTAGTGATGTAGGGTTAGTTAGCTTAGGAGCTCCACTACAATCAATATTTAATAACGGGTTCTCTCTTTTTCGAGCTACTTGACAGATATGTGACAGAGATACTGTGTGGGAGATGGTCTAATCAGTGACATGAGACGTTAATTTTCTTTGACCCATCAAAATGAATGTTGTCATTTATTAACAGAATCAAAATTTAACATCAAAACATTGTACACTTGATTATTCCGATCGGCTCTGATTAATAAAACTTGGTACGTTTTATTTAATAAAAACAACAGACATTTCCTTAGATCTTAAATTAATGTCTGCAGACTTTAGCTTATCTTTTTACTGGCAGAGAAATATAGAGATGGAGTAAAGTTTAAGAAGGGAAAGTGGATACTTAGGGTTAACTAAGATAATAAAGAAAAGATGGGGAGTTATCTTGTTTGAAACCAGATAGCATGTTTCCCGGTGATTTCAGCTAAATGGTACCTGAGCGTCGACTCTTTACCTTGGTGGGGTTTCTGAGAGGCCTTCTCCTGAAGTCCAGCAAGGCTGAGTCTTTTTACCTCCAGGGATTTATCCGCTTCTCATCAACTTGGGATGACGAGGCTGACTGGCCCAGCTTCCAAAATAAACTTCCCCGAAAGATAGGATTAAGTTAAGTGGAATTTCAGCAAACGTGCTGAACTCCTGAGATGTTGAATAGGTCTTTGGCGTAATGACCGGAATCAACACTCCAGACAGGTGTCATCTTTCAGAAAATGACCACCGTGGACTTCACCCTTGCAAAGTCGCACTGTCTTCCTTCTCCATGGAACTTCTGTTCTCTCCAGAACTAACTGGAACTAGGAAGTGTCGACTTTTAAAGAGTTCTGCTTCCGGTCCCTTTTGGGAAGTCCTGATTGGTTGAAAGAACCAACAGGGGTGTGGTTTTAGTGACGTAAGAGGTTACTACAAGTCAGAAAAACAGCGAAGATGTTTAGGAACAGACAGAGAAATGTTTAGGAACAGACAGAGAAATGTTATGGCGAAGTGGGAGGAAGCAGGTGCCAGTAGCTTCTTATTTACCGTCTGCTAGGTTTAAAAACAATCCACTTCGTTCTAATAACTTCTTTCTGACTTTCGACCGACATCACTACTTCTCATTTCAGACGGAAGATCAAAATGCATAATTACTTTGTAACAGACATCTAACTTGATTTCTACTTTGAATGAGGATTAAAAATCATTAATACTGTTTCACAGTTGATTTAAAATGAGTGGTTCACTTCAACATTTAAAATGGTTTGAACTAAACACACCTTTGATTATCAAGACATTGTAAAAATAGTAATGATAACATAAAAAAGAGAGCGTTCTTTCAATTGATTAGTTCAGGATACAATTAGAAAGTCTCTGGATGAGCTAATTTGTATTTCTGGATTCAAATCAATGAAATAACAGTTCCTGTCCCATGAAGGTCCTCAGAGGCAGGTTTTGACCGGAGGCTTAGTTCACTACAAAAAACTGTTAGTTTTTTTTTTAATTGAAGAGTTTTTTTACCCGTTTTGAAATGCTGTAGTATTTTTTTTATTAGTCAAAAAAGTGAATAAAGAATAAAATGTAAGAAATTAATAAGTCAAATAATAATAATAATAATAATAATAATATTTTAAAAATTGTAAATGCTGTTTTTTCTGACTAATGCAAACTATATTTTGAAGAAAGGCCCTTGATTGGATTTTTTAAATTTTGCTTTCTTGTCAAAGTGAGTTAGATGCACCAGAGAGCAAAGGTCACCCAGTTTTAATGAGAACTTAGATGTTCATGCATGAAACACAAGGGCAGAAGTGATTCAAGAGAAATCAGACAGAAGACAGGCCAGTCTGACCAGCCTGAAATAAAGTTCCAGTATTGTCTTGGTCTTGTGGACCTTTGGTCTCATCTTGTCCTGAGTGTCTCATGACAATCCTGGTCGCTGCACAAAGTCTCATTGTTCTGCTGCTCTGTGCAACTCCTTAGGGCTTTTTCAGGAGGAGCATCCAGCAGAACATCCAGTATAAGACGTGCCTTAAGAACGAGAGCTGCCCCATCATGAGAATGAACAGAAACCGGTGCCAGCAGTGCCGCTTTAAGAAATGCCTCCTGCTGGGAATGTCCAGAGACTGTGAGTACCTGAAACAAACAGCAGCACTTTCAACCAAACACTTCAGTGTGGGTCAGGAACTGTGACTCATTCACTCTTTAGCCCCCATTATACTACCACGTACGTCCATATGCAGAGGTACGCACATGCGTACGCGGAGGTACGAGCGTACACCCTGGGGCATGTCCGTGCAAAGCTCAAATTTTATAAACTGCCCAGCGACGGACTGTTTTGTATGCGACACCAATGTATTAAATTCCCCTTCTTCATCTCTGATCTGGCCTTTTCCTTAGTTTTTTTGCCAAGAGGCAAGTGATCTCTTCCTCCTCCGTTGATGTCATGACTGAAATGATGAGAAATTAAGGAATTTGTCACGAGCGAATTAAACTCAGGTCCAGCGTGGCTGCGGAAGGGTCTGGAGATTTCCTGGTGGGCTGGTCTGATGTGTGGGCTAAAGAGCCAGCGCTTTCTGTTTTTTTAAATTTTTTAGATCTTTTTATTAACAACATATAAACACAGAACACCGCTGCGGCTGAGCCTGCCAGCGCTCGCTTTTTTTTTTCCGACCTGTCAATCAATCCAGTAGGTGTCATCAAATGACCAATTGGTGACCTCAATTTGTACCGAAGGTAAACGCCCCTTGTCTGTGAAGCTGCTCTGCAGCTGCTCGGGGTGTACGCTGGAGTACAAAGTCTGAACCCTCTGCGTACAGTACACACGTACGTACGCGTTATTCATTCAAGTTGATTGATGCAAAGCAGATAAAAATATATTTCTGGTTTCCTCCCACAGACCAAAAACGAGAGACAGAGAGAGAGACAGAGAGAGAGAGAGAGAGAGAGAGAGATTTTTTTTTTTTTTTTTGATTTTTAACAAAACTTTATTTACACAGTTATCAAAAAAAACAGTTTTAAAAACACTAGTAAAAAAACATGATCAGGACAAGCTTAAACTAGAGCGTTTACATTAAAAGCTTGTTGATTGTCAGTTCCTTCTGATCAGAGATGGTGCATAGAACATTTTTAAATCCCCACAGTTTCAAAAACCTTTCTAAATCCCCAGTGTCCCTGTGGAATTGAAACTCCAAGGCCAACCTGGCCCTGACGTTGCACCTCCACAGAGACACAGCATCGAGGTGAGGTCCATCCTGCAATCTGTCCCTGCGAGACAAATATATTGCCATCTTTGCCTCGGCGATTAAAAAATTTAAAATTTGGGACTTGCCTTTAGTGGCCCTGCTGTAAAATACACCGTTGATAAAAACAGATTGGGTAAAAACTGTGTCAAACAGGTTAAAAATCTTTGTTAAGAGGCTAAAAAAAACTGTTAGTCGAACACAATCCATAAAAACGTGAAAGACATTCTCTGGCAAATTGCAAAAAGGACACTCGTTTAAAACCCCGGGACTGATGACAGATAAAAAAGAGTTTGTAGCAATGGCGCCATGAAGGACCCTCCATTGAAGGTCACCAGTCCGTTTTTTAATCGGAGGTTTGTAGAGTGTCCTCCACTGGGGCTTCTGCTCTCCGAACTTGCCGTCCCAGACACAAACGGCTCTGTTGTGCAGGGTCCTCTTATTCAGCACTTTCACGTAGGTTCTGTAGAGTACTTTTTGCCCCGATCTGCATAAGTCCACCTTTGGGCCTGTGTCACGAAGAAGGGGACCGCTGCTGTCCCCGAGGTTAGGAACCAGGTGGGTGTCTGGAAACGGGTCCGTCGGATCAGGCGGGCGACCTTCCGCGGACCACAGCTGCAGGAGGTGCCCCTCTCTAGCAGTCAACCTCTCCCTCAACAGGTCCATGAAGCGCCGCACCAGTCTGGCAGACCGGACCCCGAGCAACGAGGCCACTTTCTGTACGCCGGAGAAGTCTGGTCCGGCCGTCTCCACCAGGCGCCTCAGGGTCACCGTCCCAGACCTGCAAAGCACCGTCGGCAGCCCTGGCACTGTGCTGTCAGAGACGTCCAGTCTCGCTCCACAGACTAACGGTTCTTCTAAAAGCCAATGCAGAGAATTATTCGTTTTTGTTCTGTCGAATTTAAAAGGGGAACATAATTTAAAAACACTCTGATAGAACTTGGGTAGCCCCGTTAGCTGTAAACGGTCAACATTAGTTAGAAACAGAGCCGCATCCAGCCCCAACCCGCTCACTCTTCTGAGGATGCAGCTGGCCACATCTCTCCACACTGTATCAGCAGCTCCTGCCAGGTATTTTTGGAGGAACTGCATTCTAAAAGTTGCCGTCCTGCTGGCCAGATGGACAAGGCCCTGTCCCCCCTCCTCTCTTGGTAAAAATAAAACCGACTGTGGCACCCAATGCCGACCTTTCCAGAAAAACTCCACCATCTCAGACTGTAGTTGTTTCAACAGGTCTGGAGGTGGGTCTAAAACGGCCAGTTTGTGCCACAACTGCGATGCGACCAGGTTGTTCAAAACTAGCACTCTGCCTCTGTAGGACATCTGGGAGTGCAGCCATTTCCATTTTTGTATTTTATCCTCAAACTTTTCTTTAACGTTTACCCAGTTTTTCCTGATCGCATCGTTATCTCCCAGGTAGACACCGAGATATTTAAACCCGTCTCTCCTCCACTGGAGGCTTTGAGGGAGAACTGGGAGTCCTTCAGGCCACTCACCCACGGCGAGGGCTGTGCTCTTTCCCCAGTTCACCCTCGCAGCGGACAGGGTGGAGAAACTTTCGGTAACTTTTTTTAAAATGTCTACGTCCTTCTGGTTTTTGATAAAAACAACAACGTCGTCAGCGTAGGCGGATAAAACCACTCTGTTGTTAAAACCGGGTGTAATAAAACCACGGACCTTTGCTCGAATCTTTCGGAGGAGGGGTTCCAGGGAGAGTGCGTAGAGCATCCCCGAGAGCGCGCAGCCCTGCCGAACGCCTCTACACACCTTAAAAGGAGCACACAAGCTACCGTTGATCTTCAGCACACTCTCAACACCACTGTACAGCACCTGGATCTTAGCTATAAAACCAGCGCCGAACCCGAACTTCCCCATAGTTTCCCAGAGAAAGCCGTGCTCGACGCGGTCAAAAGCTTTTTCTTGGTCAAGTGAGACCAAGGCTGTGTTCAGGCCCAATGAACTGGAGACTTCCAAAACGTCTCGAATCAGATAGATGTTATCTACCATGGACCTGCTGGGGACGCAATAGGTCTGGTCCCGGTGGATGACCTGCTCCATAGCTTCTCTCATTCTGGTAGCCAAGACCTTGGAGAGGATTTTATAGTCGGTGCAGAGCAGGGACACCGGGCGCCAGTTCTTCAGGTCCTGTAGGTTCCCTTTTTTGGGCAGGAGAGCGATGACCGCTCTGCGGCACGACAGCGGGAGTGAGCCGGCGTTCAGGCTTTCGTTGAAGACACCCAGTAGATCCTCTGCCAGGATGTCCCAGTAGGCTTTGTAAAACTCTACGGTGAGTCCATCTATACCGGGTGCCTTCTGGCCTTGCATGCTTTGGAGGGCCGTGCGGAGCTCGTGAAGTCCCAGGGGGCGCCCCAGATGGGCGTTGGTCTCCTCAGAGACCTGGGGTAGCTCACTGCAGAACTCTCCGAACAGTTCGTCCTCTCTCTCGTATTCGCTTTGGAATAACGAGGAGTAGAACTCCACGGCCCTCCTCCTGATCTGGCCTGGCTCACTCAGCTGCTGCCCGGTGTCCGATAGCAGAGAGTGGATCTCTTTTCTCTGCCCGTTTTTCCTCTCCAAGCCAAAGAAAAAGCTAGAGGGAGCATCCATTTCTGTGATGGTCTGCATCCGGGACCTGACCAACACGCCCTGGACCTTCGCGTCCAGCAGGTTGGTTAAGGCTAACCTTTTCTCTTTGAGAGCTTCAAAGTGCTCTCGGTTTCCTGTGGATTCACTGAGTTGTACTAGCTCCACTATATCAATCTCCAGATCCTTGATAGATCTGGTGATGTTGCGAGTGACGTTGAGAGTGTGCTGCTGACACAGCAGTTTTATTTCAACTTTACCGTGGTCCCACCATTGTTGCAAACACGTAAAATTTCTCTTCCTCTGTCTAAAACCCGTCATAAAATAACTCAGAATCTCCTTAAAACTACGGTCATAAGTTAAAACTGAGTTAAAATGCCAGTAGGCGCTCCTAGGTAAAATGTTTCTGATAAAAACTTTACCTAAAATCAGCGAGTGGTCTGTAAAAGCTACTGGTAAGATCTGACAAGCTTTAAACACGTTAAAATGATGTTTAAAACAATAAAAGCGGTCGAGGCGAGCCAGCGAAATGCGATTTTCTTTAAGGTGGGACCACGTGTACTGCCTGGAGCCTGCGTGCATCCTCCTCCATACGTCCACCAGGCCGTGAGACGCGATCAGCTGCCTCAGGACACGCTGGGCTGCCGGATGAGGCTCTGCATGATTGCGGTCCAGAGATTCGTCTTCGGTGCAGTTAAAATCCCCACCTATAAAAACATAGTCTTCAGTCCCACAATCTCCCAACCTCTCCCCAATTTCTTCTAAAAAACGTTTTTTCTCTGCATTGGTGGTGGGAGCGTAAATGTTGATAAAAACTACATTAAAATGATCAAAACAAGTTTTGACTAAAAGACATCTACCTTGAACAATGTGTCGTGTCTCTATGTGGCTGGGAGTGAAGGACTTTGTAAAAAGGATTCCCACGCCTGCACTCTTAGACGTGCCGTGGCTTAAAATGGCCTCTCCTTTCCACTCCCTGCGCCATTCTGCTTCATTTAGTGCATCACTATGTGTCTCTTGAAGGAATAGTACATCGATCTTTTTATTGTTTATGGTCTGATAAATAAATTCACGTTTCAAAACTTCTCTTGCCCCGTTTGTGTTTAAAGATGCTATTTTAAAAGTATCCATGGGTAAAAAGTTAAGAAGCGTGTACCATAAAACTATAAAAATTATTAAAACGTGTGTGTATGTCATTGTTCAGAAGTGTTTACGTGCTGTGCTCATTAATTTCTTCAGTCTGTAAACTTGTTGGTCAGTGAGGCCTGATTCCTGTTTGTGCCTGATGTGATGCCTGGCTGAG